GACGAGGCGAGCCGGCTGGCGGGGAGGAGCCAGCATAGGATATATATAACAGCACCGGACGAGGGATCGGGGCTCTTCTCTTCCCTAACGAGGAGCGGATCACAGCTGTTTGTCTGATTGAACAATATCATACTTGTGACCAACCCGCGTCTTTTTTAATTAAAGTACCCAATTTAACTTTCACAGAGACTCCATTTAGTCTCCTTTTAAAGCTTCTCTCCTGGACGGGAGAATAACGAACACAGTTTACAGAGGCCGGACCAAAACCGCGGCGCAGCCGTGACGCAACGCAGACGGACCCGGTGGAATTGAAGGGTAACGGAGACACGCAGCTCTGCATGATCACCTGAATCCCCGCCCACTGTTTAGCGAGCTGCATGAGAAAATGATGGGCTGTCACTCAAAATGTGTCTTGGCTGTTTTCGTTTTCACCTTGTTTATAATATTATCACAGTTTGAAGCAAACGAGTGCTTTTTTTTTTAAATCACATCCGTGAGTTTCGCCCCGCCCCTCGCTCCAAGGACCATTAGACCATTTAGTAAGGTAAAAAGCAAAAAGGCCTCTCAGACGCTCTTCCGTTTACTTGTTTAATAAAGAAAAACAAATGGACGGTAGATACACGGATTAGTGACACTTAAGATGCATAACTAATCAGTCTTTGTTAAGCTTTAGCCATATGAACATTTGCGAGTAAATTCGGATCTAGTTTTGGCGCAATTTGAACGCAGTCCCGCTATGTTGTTGGTTACTATGGCAACACTTGAGGTAATATTTCAGTCTTTCTTTTTGTGGTTTAAGGAAGAAATGTGGGACGTGCAACGTGAGATTAAAAAGGGACATTGTGTTGTTTTTATTGTCCTCAGGTATGTTTTATACAAAACGTTTTTCATATGTTTTGTGATTGATTTCTGTTTCAATTCATATATGGTAAAATAAATGTGCTTTCTTTCAGTTTTATAGCTCTTGTCTAGTTTTACAAATAAATAGTTAATATAGACAGCGGTGTCAGCATTGCTTCTGTGAAGAAATGTGTGACGTGAGATTAAAAAGGACATTGTGTTGTCCCCATAGTTTAAATTAATGCCAGACGATATATAAGACGCTTCTCTGTCCCTTCTTCCGCATCTGCCACATCCTTTTTCTGCTCTCACACTACATCAGTGACCTGTAGCACAGGTATGAAACTGGTGTCCCTCGGTGATTTATTTAGCTGTACTTGCATAAATGAAGTCTACATTTTTTTTTTTGTCTTCTTGTATTGTATGTCAGTGCTGCTAATGTTAGGCCACCAAATATTAGCAATATTCTCACTTGCCACCATTACCTATCGTATCGTGCCTGCAGATACACTATCTATAACATCAAGAGGATACGACCCCTACTGACCCTGAGCACGTTTTGGTCCAGGTTCTTGTTGTCTTGACAATCCTGCAACTCCTTCTTTGCTGGTCTACCTGCAAGTGCCATCCAATATCTGGAGCTAATTCAGCATGCAGCAGCTTAACTGGTCTTTAATGGTGCGTACCCCTAAGGTCGGACTTCCTACTTGGAAACTCGAGTTCCGACCTCCAACTACCTTGAATGGAACTCAGCATAACCTCTTTGAGATCACCCACAATACCCTGATCCTCCGCGTCCTACACTGGCTGCCAGTAAATGCCCAAATACGCTTAAAGACAGTGGTACTGGCCTATCGTGCTGTGAAGGGATCGGGCCTTTACTACTGGAGTGTGTGGTTTAACAATGGTTAAACCACACACTCCAGCATGTGAAATTCGCTCAGCAACAGCCACTCTACTTGATACTCCCTTATGTTAATGTATCTTTTTCAAGTCTTGTCTTCCTGTGCCCTGTCTCAAGACTTCCTGTATTATTTTCTAGTAACCTCTACCTCTTGTTTCATAACTTAATATCCTGCCTTTGTGTGTTTCCTACTTCTGTGATTGCCAGTCCCATCCTGATTGTCTTCACCTGTTTCACATTACCTTGTGTATAAACTCTGCGTCTCCCTTTGTCCTGAGCCGGTTCGTCTTGTCTCGTCATGCTAACCCTGCCAGCCATATCCCGTGACCTTAGTATCCTTGGATCTAATTTTTTTTGTGTCTAGGTTTTTGATCCTCCAAGTGAGCGTTTTGTGTTTCTTTGTATTTTTTGTCAACCTGTTGGTGACTATGTTTACCTTGTCTCTGGTATCGTGTTTTCTCAATTCAAGAATGGTTAGTCTTATTTGGAGCCATTGCAGCAGAATTCACAATGGTTGATCTAATTGAAAGCGAATGTACTTACAGGATTCGTGCTTTTCTGAGTTTGTTTCTTCAGGGTTGAATGCACTGATTGTAAGCTGCTTTAGATAAAAGCGTCAGCTAAATGAAATGTAATGAAAGTAATAGCTGCGTACCCACTGTGCTTATCCCCCACTAACTGTAAGGCCTTCTATTGAACAAACCACGGCCTATACAGGAGCCATTTTCACAGAAGGTAAATCACAGGTTTAAACAATTAAATGAACTGTGGCTGTATTCCATTTAGCCTCAGTTTCTAGGTCCCCTTATATGCCTCCCTTTGACACATTTCTAGGATGCAACATCTGTTCTTTCGTGCTTCTTTTCTATAAATGTGGAACTCAAGTTTGTAGCATCTATTTACACTTTTACCATACTAAACAATTTACCTTTCACATTAGTGAAAGTGTGTATCCGTCTAAATGTGTATGAAATACATAACACACAGTATTATTTTGACATGTTAACTATGTCTTTGATCTGCTGCTTTATGATGTTGACATACATACATGTCTTCATAATTCATCACTGTAACATTTGAGCACACTATAGACTCTTTAGTTGGGGTAATTTAATCAAATATGGAAATGTAGCCACTGTACATGTCCCCCCCCATACTGCTGCAGCAATATGTTAAATGGAGGAGAACAGAAAACTTGGCAACCAACAGCTGCACTATCGATGACTGATGAAGTTGCAGTGTGTTTACAGCAATAGTGAAAATGTCTTGTCCCTTTTGAATAAGATAATAAAGTAAGGATCCTCCTATCATTTCCTCAATGTGGAAACCCCTGGATGGTGAACTGTGAATACAAGTGGTTTTCAAGTCTGAAAGTGCACAATTCAGATGGTCATTGTATATAATGGAGCTGGATCTGGGTAACAAGAAAGGGAAAAACATGCAATTTACAAGAAAATGTAAGGAGCCAAGGAACCCAAATGGCTTAACCTCACAAAGTGGGATCAACCTCAAAACAGCATAGAAGGAAAACAGAGAATGCCAAATGCTGCGCCTGTTACTGAGGCGGTGCAAAAATATGGGAAATGGAGATAACCTTCATCCGTCTATTGCAGGGTTTCTCAACCTTTTTTCCCAAGAGCCCAGGTTGGGAACCACTGCTTTATTGTACAACCAAATATTAAACCTGATGAAGAAATATAGAAATACACAGACACACTATCTCAATATTTAGTGGCTCTCTACTCATTAGTTTTGTGCAAGTATTACTTTCTTTGCCTCTTTTTTTCAACTCTTCCTCCATCTCTCTACATACATATATTAGACACTGGGGTGATTGTGAGTTTCTCTCATTGCTTAGCTCACACTCCAAGCATTAACAATGAAGTCATTGTTTCATTTTACTACATACGTACATTGTTGTTGTGTTAAAATGGAAGTGTTTTGCAATAAGTATGTCAAGGACAATTCTTGATAGACAAAAATTAACACATCCTCAAGTAGAATGGGAGGGATGAAACCCTCTTTAATGGTCACACATGCAGAGCACACAGCACACACAGTGAAATGTGTTCTCTGCTTTTAACCCATCCTAGTACCAGGAGTCTAGGACCAGGAGCAGTGGGCAGGTCAACAGGTAGTGAATATTCCATGGAAAGTGAAAATCTGAGAGAAATAAAACCTATTGAATCTGTCATTTATTTCTTAAACATTAAATAAATGTAACATAATAGGTGTACTGTTCTCTCTATTTGTTGTACTGTCTGAGAGTGAACATAGATTAAACAGCCAGCCAAACTCTTTTGAGAGCCAGGGAATGAGCAGCCATGCTCCTTTATTGAATTATTTGCAGTCTACTGACATTCAAACGGAGTGAAACTATAAAAAAAAGAAGATACAAGGCACTTAATGATCTCATACATGCAAGTGTAACATACACAGATTAACACATAGGACTGCTAAGTGTAAACAAGGTAAATATAAATAATGCTAGCTGTGCGATAAGCATGTATAGCTAACGCTAGCATGTATGCTAACGCATTTTAACGCGGTTTAAACATCTCCAAATGTCATCACATAAACACAATACATGTTACTAATCCTTACAGTCAGTGTAAGTGTTAGGCTTACACTTACAGTCATTGCTTTCTGACAGACTTTAACCTTTTACTCTTCAGGTTGCATAGGGAAAATTAGTAGCAGTCTACTGCCATTGTGGGCGGTGTCCGTCAAACAAAAAACGTAAAGCCAATCAGGAACTGAGAATTTAGTCCAAATTCCTTTTCAATCAAACTCACTTTCTTTTCAATCATACTCTCTCACACACATAACTGTTCTTATGCACACACCCTATCATTCTGTTTTATACACATACCTATATAGTCATTCACATCAAATATTATTACCTCTTATATAAGCTATTATTCGGCCTTTCATTCACTGCTACTGTTTTACATATATGACTATTGTTATTAACATGAAATACTATTCCCTCTTACATAGGTCATTATTCTGTCTTACATACATTGTTTACCGATTACACACATACTACTATCCTCTTTCACATACACTATTATAATGTTCTATTAGATTATAGTTGTTTGTGAAAGACGATAGTGGTGTGTGTATGAGAGTATGATGGCGCGTTTAAGAGATTTTGTTTTTGTGTGTGAGAGAGAATAGTTATTTATGTATGATAGCATGATAGTGAATCAAGGAAGGAATGACAGTACGTTAAAGACGGTATGATGCTGTGTGTGAAAGAGTCTGGTGGTGTAAATTTGAGATTCTGACATTGTTTGTAAGACCAAGTATGAGTTGTGAGCTAGACGGCCTCTCATACACTTGTGCTGTGTCTCAAGTCACATACTTCTGTAGGCTGCTTACATTTGTTGTTTTGAGTGCATAAGTGATTCCCAATGGCGACCAATGGCAAAATGCAGTAGGCTATAGGCTAAGTGCCGTTAAGAGCTCTCATAACAGTCACAAAAGTTGAGTATGGAACGTTGCACACCTCTTAATTTGCATTCACATATGCACAAAATTAATATTATTTTAATTTTGACCCAACTAAAGCTGACCTTTCAATGCGCAACCAATCAGATAACAGCTGTAGCCTATGTAGCATCGCAAGCTAGCAGAGGAGGTTACAATAGAAACGGAAACATCACTGGCTTTTCAAGGCTCTGCACCAAACCTTGTGGTGAGCAAAGAGAAAATCTTGAGAATGCAGCATAACTGTCAATGATCGCCATCTTTGCTACGTAACAGAATTAATGCGACCAGCCATGATTGTGATTGCTCCAGTAAACACAGTGCTCTAAAAGTTTTTTTTTTTAATACTTAATTACAATACCACTATACCTGAGTTTAAAATAAGCCACCATAGGGTTGATTGAGCAGTCTGCAATGATTTGGTAGCAGGAAAGATAGTTGCTAGCTAGCTAACAGCGGGGATCATCACTTTTGGTGAGGGCAAAGCAGATGTGAACGATTTGAGACAACACTATGGGGTAAAATCGCACTGTATTAAAAAAAGTGTCCGAAATAAAACAGTGATTTAGAGTCTATTGAGTTTTCTAAATAAAAGACAGGAACAATTGCACAACTAAAAACGACCTGCTGTTCTGCTGTGATCTCAGCATCGACAACACGCTAACCTCCACTCCTGGGGCGAAGTAAATCGTGTACATGCAGATCAACTTATATGAGCGTTGACATCAAGTCTTGGACGTGATGAATCCTGACAGTATGACTTGGCTTGTCCAAATCTGTTCATGTGAACTGTCTAAAATAGTGCTCTGGTATCCCCATATTTAATCCCTCCTCTCTGTGACAGCCGGCTTGTCACTTCGCCTTCCAGAGTCGCCGTTCAGAGCTAAACACTTTTGATTTCTGACGTAGTCTGACAACACATCTTTTTCCGGAATAACCCAACCCTAAGAGCTGGTTACCAGTTTATTGTGTGCAGAAGTGTGTGTCCTCTGTGTGTGTGTCCGCCCCTCTGGCCTGTGTCTGTAACTTTTGAGCAGTAAATCAGGTTTGACAGCTGTGTTGAACGCTGCTTCCCGCGTAGCAATCGCCCGTGTGTGCATCCAATATATTTTCTCGCACTCCTTTGTTTATTGTCTCCCGTTCGGTGCTGTTAAATCGTGTGTGTGATTCTGTGAAGTGTGTGTGTATCTACAGCCTGCTCTGCTGCAGTGTGTTGGTCATGTGATCAGGCTAGCTATCACCAGGCTCTAACGTCCCCTCGCCTCCCCCTTTTTCCCTCTCTCTTCTATCTCCTCTTTACCCTCTTTTTTTTCACACCATAATTTGCCTTCTCCCCGTTTCTCTTTCATCCCATTTTTCTGCATATTTTTCCTACCCTCCAAATCCTTTCTCCCTGTCCTCCTCCGAGTTCCTCCTCAACCCCTCTGCTCTTATCTCCCTTTTCCATTTGATTGCTTCTATGCTCTCCACCTTACCTTCCCTTTTTCGCTCAATGACTCCACCCCCTACTTACTCTTCTCCTTTCTCCCTACAATAAATCTTCTCTCCTCTACCTCCCCCCTCCATTTACACATTCTGTCTTTTTTTACTTTGATGTTATCCGTTCTTCTTCCTCATTTTACATAAATTCTGATTTTCTGTACCCTCTCCTCTCTATTTTTCCTCCCTCTTCTCCCTTCCATGTCTCCTTTCTTCTTCTCCTGTTTTCCTATTCTTTTCTCTTGCCAATTCTCCGTTACCATTTCACCATGACTTTCCCGTTATCTGTCCCTTCACCATTTCCCTGCTTCTCTTCTGTCACCTCCCTTTCCTCCCTCTTTGTTTTCACCCCCTCTACCTTCTACCCCCCCATGTCTCTATCCCCTTCTCCCAGATTCCAAGCAAAATGGCGAGGCGGCAGCTAACGCAGCGCTGGCCAACGAGGACTGCCCCACCATTGACCAGGTCCTCGGGGACGAGCGCAGCCCGGCCACGGGGGGGCTCGGCTCCGCCACTAGCCGCGAGCGCTACCCCCACGACCGGGCCTGCTTCCTGCTGAGTGCGGGGGAGTTCCAGCGCACCACGGACGGGAACGTTCGGAAAGGTAGGAAGGTGGAGGGGGGGAGAAGGAGGCCTGAGGGAGGAGGAGAAGGAAGAGGAGCCGGGGGAGAGGGCGGGGGGGTGGGGTGGTACCTGAGTGACAGCAGTGGGCTGTCCCTTGATGCATGGCCCTGATCCACATGTGCTGCAAAAACACGTCCCTTCCCCTACAGACAGGTGGACAAAATAATAGGAACCCCTAACAATATAAAGTTATTCATGGTGTGTGAATACCTTTATGTCTGAGTGTGTGCGTTTGTGTGTGTGAGAATGTCTGTGCAATAGAATGTGTTTCACATAACACACGCAGAAACATAACAGAAACAAATAAAAGTTGAAAAAATGAAAATAACTTAACATGGAGAGTTCTCTCCATTGGCACACAAAATAATAATACACAATTATTGGCAAAGGTATTTAATCCAAGTATTATTTTATTCACAACTTCTTACTACAGCTGTAGTGGAAGAAGCCCCCTTCATGCATTTATCCTGTGTTTGTAATGTGTGTATAGTGCGTGTGTACTACGTGTGTACTGCGTGTGTACTGCGTGTGTACTGCGTGTGTACTGCGTCTGTACTGCCAAGGCTGCTGCAACACTGATGTTGAAGTGACTGGATGTACCATACTGTAACACAATAGTTTTTAGAACGTTTTTGGGTGGTCCAATAATGCAATATAAAGATGATTCCTTCCTGAGGTGGGTCCACAGTCACTCAGCAGCACTAAGTGAAGGGTTTCATTGGTCTTCTGTGGATGCTGTGTTCTATGTTCATCATAGCCAATACATACTTACATAGAGCTAAACAGTTTCATTTTGAAAACACTGTCCATTAAAATGAATATAGTGTTACCTGTACAATTTACTATCAACAAATCCCATGAAAAGACCGAAGAAGACTAGCATTGGTTATTTTTTCTAATTCATTAAATGACATGTAAACCTGACATCAGCTGGCCTCATGAACTGTGGCTTCTGTCCGTCAGAAACATGTGATGATGTTATTAGCACAGGCGAGGGGAATGTATGGTAACAATCTGCAAAGAGGATGAAATGTACTGCCACATTGATTCAAATACTTTTCTTGCGTTGCTAAGTGCAATAAATGTATTTAATTGTAATGCCCTAACACACACTACATGAAAACAGCAGCATTAGATTGCAAACTGTCATCCAGAGGTCAAAAGATGTAGAATAAAAGAACACTGAATGAGTGTGCAGGTTTATTATTGTTTTTGAGATAATTATTCCTCAGCACAGGCAACAATGTATGGATTGCTCTCTGCTATATTGGAAATCCATGACCCAATACCTGCTAAACGAATTCATTACATTAGCCTCAACCTGATCATTTGTATGTTAGCATGCTTATATAAGCATTTAGCTCAAAGCCTCAGGAAAATAGGGACTTGATGTAATTTTAAGAATACTTTTAAATCAAATCCACACATTTCTTCTTCTGGTATTTTCATGGGATTTGATGAATGATAAAAAAGAAAACGCCAGTCATGCACTTTCTTGAACTTTCCTGGATTTCTGTTCCGAATGTTTTGAAATGAAACTCTTCATGTGAACTGTGCAGCATTTTGAATCTGATCTGGCAGAACAGCCAGATCAGATGAGTGTCATTCTGTTCTCGTCACATCGGCTTCTCCACTGTTCTGCTCTGTCTGTCATCCATCCACACTCACTTCATGCTTTATTTTTCTCACTTTTCCATGCTGTATTCATTAACTCTCCTTCTTTATCCCTCCATCCCATATTTTATTCTTTCCCCCCACCTTCTCCATTGATTATAACGTTTTCCCTCATCTTCCATTAATTTGTCCTCTCTATGTTCCTGCATTATCTTGCCTATTGCCTCCTTGACCTGATAACACTACAGTAATTAATTTGGCTTTCAAACATAACCTGGCCCTTCCCCCTTTAATACCCATACACTCCCCAAATGCAACTTCCCCTGATTCACACACACAAACACACTGCAAAATGTGCACACTCACACACACCAACACACACACAGATGGCTCAGGGTCCAGCAGTGTGACCTCCTCCCAGGAAGGCGGGTGGTTCAAGCCGGAGGGGCCCCTGCTGCAGCCGGAGCTCAGCGTACACTCCGGCTCCTGGATCACAGCATAGAAACACACAGGTAACACGCGCATTCAGTCATATACAATATATTAAACAATCAGCTAGACGGACAACGTTTCTGTGCTAACGAAATATTAGATGCACCGAACAAACTGAAACGTTGACTTTAATAAAATGTATTATGTCAACAAATGTCACATAACTGTATTAGGTTAGTTGAAAGCAATAATATTAAGTTGAACCTAATATTTTCAACTAACCTATACAGTTATATGAAATCTATTGAGTTAATCCTTTTCATTGTAATCAACGTTTCAGTTTTTGCAGTAGAATAATTCAGACTTTTATTGTGTCTTTAAACAAGGACCATGCATAATACATTCATCTCAAAAACAGAACCGATGATTTCTGACAGATTTAGCTTTTATGCTCATATCTGCAGTCCTTGACACAACAGACACTGTCTCTGTCACTATAACAATTACACAGATCGAATCAACAGATCAACATATAGACACCAGCACATTGATCAGTGGATTTATAATAATACAATACTTGAATATAATCTTGAACTTGAATTATTGGATTATAATAGATTATAATAAATTAGATAGAATTGAAGTAGATTACACTATAACGGGTTAAACACAACTATATAAGCAGCAACCAATAGCAGCGTGGGCCAGTTTGATTCCCTGCTGGCCATACTCCGTGTCATTACCCTTCTCTCTTCCACTACTAGCACATTCCAATAAAGGCTAACAGTACAATGCCAAGAAATAATCTAAAAAAAACAAGACTAGAAAAGATAACATTAGAATAGCAGATACAAATGCATTAGACTTAATTAAAAAAGAATAGATTAGATTTGATCAATTTAGACTACACATATGTTTAACTCAACTAAACTAGACTAGATTTAGTTAGACCAAACGCAATTTGATTATATTAGATCAATTTAGATTGGATTTAACCAGATTAAATTAGATTAAACAAAAAAGATTACATTCTGTTAGATTAGACTAGATCTAACTCTTTAACATTACAATGAATGGCAAGATAATTACATTAACCCTTACTAGACTAGACTGCACAAAGGTATAATCTGAAATGGTCATGGGTCATTTTGCTTGCGGGTTGCAAGTTGAGAATCACAGCACACACACAAGATAAAAAATGACGGTAAAGTGGAGGAGGTTACAGTAGAAAATATTAAAAAAAAAATATATATATACATCAGTTGTTGATTAAAAAAGTTTAAACCCCAGACACACAATAGGACACAACCATTTGTACTGTATATATTTCATATATATTTAAATCAACAGTTTACTTTTTTCACACTAACACTGCAAATATTTCATTAATGCAAGTCTTGTCAATTGAATTGAATTGAATTTATGAACATAAAGCTAGTTATTGTTATTGTAAGAACAAATCACATTCCAATATATGCGTTGGCACAAATAAAACAAGTTAAACATATCCATAGAGTGTTTGCGTTATGAGATGTGTTTTTGTAGTGATATAACCACTTTTTAACCAATATTATCAACTTTGATGATTCTCTATAATGTGCTTGCAAACAATCTATTTATATGCTTAGTCCAGAAATGTGACACAAATATAATGTAATAGTAACACGTCAAAAACAGTGTCAGATTATATAATATCCAAACAATTGTAGGGGGAATCAGCATACACACAAACACACACGCACACACACACACACACACGCACGCACGCACGCACGCACGCACGCACGCACGCACGCACACACACACACACAC